GGTTGACACTAATATATATGGGTCACCCGAACACGACCCATTGCATCTTTATTAAAAAAGAATTATTCCAATGGCATTTTTGTGCTTCTGAAATCTGTCTTATTTTGCTGTCAGGTCCTTGTATTCTTTAAAACTCTCTGAGAACCACCTTGGCCGCAATTTTGCAAAATTGGTTTTTGGTACTCTTCTCAATGCTTCATCTAGTCTATCCATCCTTGACCTTTCAGATAACAATGTGAGTGACGCAATTCCTTTAACAGAATTAGTTTTTACTTTTTTTAAAATTATCCTGTACTACTAACATGAAACTTTATACAAAATCTTTTAGATATCAGGCTGGCTTTCTGAACTCTATTGGAGATCACCAAGTGGCCCCCCAACACCTTTGGGAATTGGAAAGTCCTTCCAATCATTACGAGTGCTCAATTTAAGGTATGATTTCGTAATTACTTTTGCCTTCTGTGCAATTTTCTATTCCTCAACAAGAAAAATGGCAGTTGTGAAATAGATTAGTGAACTCCGCAAGGTACTTTTCACCAATTACCCCGTTAATGAGCCTGATGTCAGTGGTTGTATAAGTTGTATTCCATGCTGCTACACAGATCCTATGTTGAAAAGAAAACAAATTTGAGATTTTACTTCTCTGTTTATAGGGGAAATAATCTAAACAAAGATGATGCAGATGGTCTTAGATACGCTCTCGTTCATATACCTAATTTGGAGGTCCTGGATATGAGTGATAATCCTATTGAGGATGATGGAATCAGGTTGGTTGTGTTTTAAATCTCCACTTATGCATATTGAGCATTTTAGGCCCAAAGTCTAATATTCTGTATCATAAATGTCTCAGGAGTTTAATTCCATATTTTGTCCAAGCTTCCGAAAAATGCTTTCCCTTTGCTGATTTAATGTTAGAGAACTGTGAGCTTTCCTGTCATGGAGTGACTTACCTCATAGACACCCTCTCAACCTTACAGACACCATTGAAGTCTCTATCTGTTGCTGATAATGACCTTGGCAGGTTTGTCTGGATGGCACTGGCTTAGACGTTTTGCTTCTTTATATATGTTTTTTCTCAATATTTACTGGGTTGATAGCTCACTATTGTGTAGCCAAGTAGCAGCAGCTTTGGGAAAACTTTTGTCCACATCAATTCAAATACTCAATGTTGAAGGTATTGGATTGGGTTCATCTGGTTTTCAGGAACTACAAGATGGCATAACTAAGGAGTTGAAGCTAGTCAAGGTCAACATAAGGTGTGAAAGAATAACTTTATATTTTTTTTCTACTTTTTTTATTATCTATTTATATACGCTTATAGCTGATGGCCAGGAAATTTATCGTATTAATAAATTATGTGTAGCAAAAATCGTGGAGGAATTGAAACTGCAAACTTTTTGTCAAAGCTCATATCAATGGCTCCAGAACTCATTACAGTCGATGCCGCATATAATCTTATGCCTTTAAAATCCTTGACCACCATATGCTCGGCCCTTAAAGCTGCTAAAGGTATTTATTAACTGTATCAATTTTTTCTAAGTAGCTAATGGCATCTGGTCCATTAACTTTTGTGCTGCCACGAGTTGCCTTGTCACTGGTAAATAATTTGGGCTACCAAATATTAGGGTATCGCGGATTAACGGCGTGTTAAATCTCAGTTGAATCTTTGATCTTTAACCCCATCCGTCTTTCCATTTTTTGGTTCAATGGCCGATATTGGATAAATCAATTAGAGCATTCACGGGAGATGTTAATGGATAGGAATTGAAATTATTTTATATGTCTGTGTTCTGCTGCTTTGTCTGAATATAAAACCGAGTTTAACTAACTTTATTGATTAGGAAATATTGAGCGTCTGGACTTAAGGGGAAATATTTGGGATTATCAACCAGGTTATGCTTCTATGCTTGCCGACATAAAATGTAATGGAAGGCCCGTTTTGATTCTTTCGTCGTCACCAACTCCAGATGCACCCTATGACGCTGATCCGTAACTGGGATGGCTCTCATAATATATTTTTCATTCAACTGTCTTATGCCAATCACCCACTGGAGTTGCCAAAGTTTCTCCACTGTGCAACAAAACTAAGCAGGTATTAGGCTGATTAATGTGATTGTGTATATTATTTACCTGGCTCTCCGGCTGTGATAGCTATATCAAGTAATTTTAGGCTTCAGTTGCGAGTTCTTGTCCAAATGTACTAGTTTCGTGTGTTGTAAAATTTATCGATTTTGTTTTCAAGGTTGATTGTATTAGCATAAACTGCTTAAGTTTGGACCTCCCATATAAAAGGTCAAAGGGGTTATTGCGATTTATGTAGCAGTCACATCCATGGCTAAAGAAAGAAGCCATCGCATAAAGGAGTAAGTTGTTGTTGCCGCCAGTCACTAGCACTAAGATTACAAAGGAAACATCACAACAGCAAAGCAAATTGTTGCTCCTAGCACTAAATGGTATGGTGCAATAGTAGCATGTGCGCGTCGGTGACTGTCATCCGTATATTAGTCTGGATCTCACTATGCAACCCACACTCGTATACACGGTCCGTGGGCGGGGCTGTCCTTAGAAAAACTCATATTTTCCTCCATTGTTGCAGATCTGCAAGATTCACAATGTTGATTATTGCTCATCCAATTGATGAAGAAGAACATTATTAAGTATAGTATTGAATATTGATGCCGAAGCTGATCTTACCCAACAACCCTAATGAGCCAAGCCAACCTGTAAAGGTCAAACTATTTATAAACATATTGGCATCATCCCCACTTTGATTATTAAAGTATTAAACCATTAAGCATGTATGGCTAACCAAACATGATGAAGCAAGCAAAGTGAAAGTGGACCACTTTCTTTTCTTTTCTTTTCTTTTTTTCTTAGATATTCTTTTTATTTCGTGCTGTCCAGAAGAGGTTGTTGGCTAGGATTTGTCATGAAGTTAGGCTTTTCTTATTTGGGCCGTTTTAATCATCCTCTTTTATAATCTTATCTCCTTCCCCTTCCTAATCTCTCTCTCTCTCTCATTTAACAAATATCATATGATGACACCTTTTGAATGACCCGTGAACAAACAATTTGTCACTCATTTCTGGTTAAACTTATTATCAATTCTGTGCCGCATGATCTCTCATCATCATCATTATCATGGCCTCGAAAGACTTCAAGCAGCCAAAATATGGGGTCCCATATTATCAACCTAAATGACGTAATAATAAGTTAATATGGATTTGCAAATGGCTTGCAACTTAAGTGGTTAGGAGTAGTTACTATTACACTCAAGATCATGTGTTTGAATCTCCTTCCTTCATTATTGATCTCGTTAATACAGATTTTGTTAAGATCTTTAAACCATTGGATTAGCTATCAAAATTAATTTTGCTGATTACGGGTGTAGTAATTTTATTCAATAATGCCAACAAAATGCTTTTATAAGAACATGAATTCAAGTAAGATGGTGGTGGTGGAAGAAATCTCCCCAGCCTGGATTCTGCAATTTAAAACAAAGAAGATTATGGCTTGTTGGATTATTTCCACAATTGAAAAATATTTCAGGTTTGGTCTTCTAGATGCCAACGTTGGGCAGCCATTAATATGCAGTACTTGTCAAACAAAATATATTATAAGCTCACTCAATGCCATACTGGTACAGACAAACTTTGCATGGAATTGCAGCTTCATACGATGAAACATATTTAAGAATATAACCAAACATTATCCCCCTAACGTTTCTGTTCTTGTTCCTATTCTGTTATTAGCTCATGAACAAAAACATTGCTCTCTTTTTCTAACATAGCAGCTTTTTTTTTTTTTTTTTTGCTTCAATTTTTCTGTTGCGTTGTCTATCTCTCTCACGTGAGTATTTAGATTCCAGATATGGGACCATGGTCCTCCATGTGAGAGCCAGGTAGGAACAACAAGCAATGCTTTTGAAGAGGAAAGGTACTTGCATTTTCTGAGATTGCCAATCTAATGTTAACTGCCCGGTGAATTTTCGACCGTGATACTGAAAGATGGAATAATCGAACACATGACTTCTAGTGTAGAGGAGGTAAAATATTTTGAACTATTTAATGACCGGGAACATTAACCGATCAAAATTAAATTAATGAGTTTTCCTTACTCATTAGAACTTGTTACTTAAAGACTCATTCATTAATAACTGTCATTAGGAGGTGACTTAATTAACATTGCATTTATGCAAAGAAAATTCACCATCTAGACTATACAAGTCGGTTGGTTTGTTCACCTAATTTTTTAACATTCTGGGTAAACCAAACATGCATGTGGCTGGAAAAACCCTAATTGGTGGTTTCGCAATTGATTAAAACACAAAAGAAAATGACATTCGTACTTCTAAACTTTGCAAGAAAGTATTGATGAGCGTTGCTTTCCCCAGATCATACTTGGTGTTAACATCTAGGTATTGAGATTGGCCTAACCCAAGAGTCAGATTAAATGATAGTGAAATTTGGGAAATTATTTTTATTTTCTAGAGAAAATTATTATTGTTTTCTTAAGTGACAATTTGATGACATAACATATAAATTTGACAAATTGTGTTGTTAGCACCATACATCAATCATTCTTACTTAATATGCGGTATCATTTGATAAATTGACGACATAATATCAAATTATTTACTGAAAGAGCGTAACAACACAACGTATTAGATTATTTACTACAATAACATATTATACAATTAAAGCTGTAAGTCACGTTGTAATATTAGAAAATTAAGGATATAATAAACTATATAAACCATAATATTCATATAAAAATCCGTTTGATTTAACAGTCCAAATTAAGAATAAACTGAACATTGAGGCCAAGTCACCCTATCGATTAGGATTAATAATTTAAATTTAGACGAAAAATAATTAAATAAACAGGCGTGACAGTTCACTGTAGTAACTACTAAACAGTAAGAACACAGTGGTAGAATCCGTAAATTAAACAGAAAACAGGGGTAAAGTTTCAAGCTACCCTCAACCACAAGGTGCTTCATCTTCTCCTTCAATCTAGCCAAAAAAGCCAAACTACCCTCTCTGTGTCTCTTTCTCTCACTAAAATTATCCCTCTCTAAAATCTAAACCAACATCTTTCTTCAACCTTCAGACGCGGGAGAAGACCCTGTGAATTTAGCCACACTCATCCTCTGAATCTCTTTCACACACTCTCTCTCTATCCACATTTCACTTTCAGTCACTCACTAACTCCACCAACACCAAACGCCATTTATCTCTCTCCTTCATCACTCCCTCTATCCTATGCCCTAATTCCACACCAAATCCACCAGATCTGAGCCCGCCCGCACCAGATCACGCCCCTAGCGAACCCTAACCTTGCTCCGATGGAGGAAGCTCTGGAGCTCGCACGTGCCAAGGACACGAAGGAGCGCATGGCGGGAGTGGAGCGCCTGCATCAGCTTCTGGAAGCGTCGAGAAAGAGCCTGAGTTCGTCGGAGGTGACGTCGCTTGTCGACTGCTGCATGGATCTTCTCAAGGACAATAATTTCAGAGTCTCTCAGGGCGCTCTGCAAGCCCTAGCCTCCGCTGCTGTGCTCTCCGGCGACCACCTCAAGCTCCACTTTAATGCGCTTGTTCCCGCCGTCGTCGAGCGTTTGGGCGATGGAAAACAGCCTGTTCGCGACGCCGCTCGGAGACTCCTGCTTACTCTCATGGAGGTTTTTTTTAACTCTCTTCCACTTTTGCCCTCTGCATTATGTCTTATTGTCTCAAATGTATTGCGATTATAGACTCGTGGCGAAATCATTGAGGTTTCTAATTATTGACTTATGCTAAAAGATGATAACTTGTTAATCCTACTTGCAAGTTTGCATGAAATTGTTGTCCGAAGTTTCTGAATTTTCGTATGTAGTTAGAGACTAATAGAGTTTTATTAGAGGTGTTTTTCTGTACGGTCTAGTTGCCTTAGATGCACCTCAATTTTCACTGGTGATATTGCGATGTTTTTTGACTTCGCCTCATGGATTCTGACCAATTGGGTTGCTGATAACCCTTTCCGGATAATATCAGATTTTCAATTATTGGGGCGCACTTGGAAAACAGACTTAGTGACTTGTACCGTATAAATACTTGAACCTTTTTGAAGTTAAAATTTCTCTGAAGAGCATGAAGAAGGGACACGATGGGTTGCTATTATTACAAAAGTATTTACCTGATTGGGTAGCTGTGCGTCTTAGATTTGAACCATTTTTTGTTGGATAAGGAAGTCATGTTCATCATTTCACAACTTGATATCACAACACATATTTAGTATACCTCATTACTTCAGTGTGTAACTTGAAAGATGAAACTACAATGAGTTGAGACATGCACATTCTGCTGGGCCATATTTTCTGCTTTTTTTTCAAAGCATAATTTCAGAGAAGGTTTTTAATTTTAATTTTAATGCAATTAGTATTGCTGTGAGTCATCTCTGCATGTGTGTGGGCACGCTGGCTAGTTACCCTTCATTTTCATTACATAGGAATAGGATGGGAGAAACTGTTCCTGTGTTCCATCATCAAATTGTTATCCGGTTCTTTTAATTAAAGCTAATAGATGCCAACCATTTTAATAATTCCTTTTTAGTATACTTCTGATTTTGTTATCCCAAAATGTATCTTGGTTTGCTTCCAAATAAATGTTCCACTGAAAGATAATAAGGGCTTAAATCTTATATTCTTTGGCTGCAGGTTTCTTCTCCAACAATCATTGTTGAAAGAGCAGGATCTTATGCCTGGGCACACAAAAGTTGGAGAGTTCGAGAAGAGTTTGCACGAACTGTCACCGCAGCAATTGGACTTTTTGCAGCTACTGAACTTCCACTTCAGAGGGCTATACTTCCTCCTGTAAGTTTCTTGATTTCTATGAACAAAATAAACATTTTTCTTTCTCCCCAGTTCAAATAATGTGGGAAACAAACTAAAAATGTTCAATATTTCTTTGGAATCGCAGATTCTGCAGATGTTGAATGATTCAAATCCTGGTGTAAGGGAAGCAGCTATAATGTGCATTGAGGTTAGTAGTACTGCTGTACTGGATTTATACTTTGAATATGATTTGTTCTATAAAAAGTTTGTCATGCAACAGTACCAACTTGGTTCTCATATTTCTTTCACCTTTGCTAGGTTGGGGTTGGACTTATTGAAGTAATCTGACTATTATTCTTATTTGTTTTTTCTTTTCTATTCCCAGGAGATGTATACGCAGGCAGGGCCTCAATTCCGTGATGAACTTCAGAGGCACCATCTTCCTATGTCTATGGTATATGCAGTTTATTTTCCCAGATTTCTTTTTCCAAGTAGAACAACTATTATTGATGAATGTGTCAAATTATTCTGGTGGGTTGCTCCTTGGGTTTTATTCTTTCTATAAAATGTACAATTGCAGGTGAAGGATATTAATGCAAGGCTAGAGAGGATTGAACCTAAGGTTCGTTCCTCAGATGGACTTACCAGCAATTTTAGTGCTGTAGAAACAAAGCATGTGAGCCATAACCCCAAGAAAAGTAGTCCAAAGGCCAAGAGTTCCTCAAGGGAGGTGTCTCTTTTTGGAGGTTAGGATGCTTTGTCCTTTAGTTTTGAAAAGGTCATGAGATTACGTACACCCACATAATTTATTCAGTGATAAATTTACTGTAGTGTACGTATATGAATTTATATAAAACAATATGTTGGTAAGTTTTGAAGAACCCGTTACTTTCATATCCCATGGGTTGTCTTAATTTTTAGTTGTGAAAGTTAGTTGATTTGTTCCTCTTTATACAATATGATGAAAGACCATCTTAATTCTGGTATCCGGATTTAGATGCATAAAAATATTTTGTGGCATGATGGGATTTAATGTGGTAGCATTGCAAAATTTATGACATTGTAATTTCATTTCTAGAACATGTTGGTACTGGGTGTGATTGAAACATATAGGCACTGTAAATTTCATTTGTACATTTAGTGATTTGAATGGTTTGGATTTTGCACGAAATATCCTTGCCTTATCTGTGGAAGTGGTAACATTGATTGTTTGCATAATTGATATCCTTTGAATTGTTATCCGCTTTTGTCCCATGCAGGGGAAAATGAGGCTACTGAAAAATCCGTAGACCCTATTAAAGTTTATTCAGAGAAGGAACTAATAAGGGAAATTGAGAAAATTGCTTCAACCCTTGTACCAGAAAAAGACTGGTCAGTTCGCATTGCTGCAATGCAGAGAATTGAAGGGCTTGTATATGGAGGTCTGTATCCCTTACTCTCTTGCAGTCCCTTACCCCTGTCTCTTCCTGGGTGGGCGTGTGAGACATTCATGTTTAGTCGAACATTTTCTGCTCTTGGAATGCTTAACATATTTATGCTTAATTGTGTGTCATAACTGATGTTGATTAGGTTGAACCATAGTATTTTTGTGTGACTGTGTTCTTTAAATCTCTTTTCTCAGGTTCCTCATTTAATCCCTCTTTTCTCAACTTCTTTAACCCCTTTTCTTTGTTGATAACGGAAATTCAGTGTATTTATTATAAGTAATAATAGTGTGAAATGGCATGCATCTTCAGAAAAGATTACCGGCTTGTAATATTTTGAGTTCATATATACATGTAGGTGCTACTGACTATCAATGTTTCCGGGGACTCTTGAAGCAACTTGTTGGCCCTCTGAGCACACAATTATCTGATCGAAGGTCTAGCATAGTAAAGCAGGTGCGCTAGCATATTTTTGTATTTTCAGGTGCCTGTTTATTGATTTCTTCCTGTACCCCGGAACCCCCTTTAGGAGATTGATTCAGTCAAGTTTTACCAATCTGCAGCTTTCTGTTATGAACAGTTTGCTGTCATATGATAGTTGTATCATTTTTTCGGCTCATCTTTTTTGGGAAATGTTTGTTTATTAGCACAAGCAACTACATTTAATCAAATACCCTAGAACAAATAAATATCTTAATAATCCGTTACCCTAAGCTGTTAAAGAAAATGATGAAAACAGAGGTGGGGACTGTGGTTAGTTCCTGCTATTCTTTGCAGTTGTTGGCCGGACTTTTGGATTAGGATATTTAGCTCTGGAAAGATTTGTATAAATAGTGGTACAAATGTCAAAGGCACTTGTTCATGTTGTCCATAACCTCTTAGATGTTTTGTGCTTGTTCGTGTAGCTTTGGGGGGTTCTAATTAGTTGGCTTTCTTTTCCTAGGCTTGCCATCTGTTGTGCTTCTTGTCGAAGGAGCTTTTGGGAGATTTTGAGGCATGCGCGGAGATGTTCATTCCAGTAAGTTGATTATTTCCTTGCCAATTATCAATCCTCAAGTATTCACCACAAAAGAAAAAATTGAATACAATAAAGATCCTTAAGTGAGAAGGTTTTAACTGATTTTATCATACTGTAATCAGGTTCTTTTCAAGCTGGTTGTGATTACTGTACTTGTAATTGCAGAGTCAGCAGATAACTGCATAAAAACGGTAATTCTAATTCTTTTGATCTTTTACCTTTTTAGAAAAAGAAAGTTGTTCCTTAAAACAGGTTTCTTGCACTTTATTACTTTCCAGATGTTGCGTAATTGTAAAGTTGCTCGTGTGCTTCCTCGAATTGCTGATTGTGCAAAGAATGACCGTAATGCAGTACTTCGTGCAAGGTATAACTCTCAACACCAATTCATCTGTGTGCACAGTTATGTGTTTGTTCTCGTTTCCGTCACTATTACTTATTTTTTACAGTTCTTTTATCTTATCTTTTATAAAATAGAATGCTCTTGTTGGCTCATTTTTTATCTTGTATTGTAGGTGTTGTGATTATGCACTGTTGATACTAGAGTATTGGGCTGATGCACCAGAAATACAACGATCAGCGGATTTGTATGAAGATCTAATAAGGTGTTGTGTGGCAGATGCAATGAGCGAGGTATTCACATCAAGGATTCATATATTGTTTTTTATGACTTGTTTTGAAATTTCATGTTTCAGGATTCATATGTAGAACTTTCTGTGTATAAATTGACAGGTCCGATCGACTGCAAGAATGTGCTATAGAATGTTCTCAAAAACATGGCCAGAGCGTTCCCGACGATTATTTTCACTATTTGATCCTGTTATTCAAAGGGTATGCCATTTCATTTTCTTTGTCAGAAGGATGATTGTATTCTATTTATAGGTGAAGTATTTTTAATGTTAAAAAGATTTGCACAGTTAATCAATGAAGAGGACGGGGGAATACATAGGCGTCATGCTTCTCCTTCTGTTCGTGATAGGGGTGTGTCATATACTCCCCAGCCATCTGCTGCTTCAAATTTACCTGGATATGGAACTTCTGCTATTGTTGCAATGGATAAAAGTTCAAGTTTATCCTCAGGCACTTCTCTATCTTCAGGACTACTTTTGTCACAAGCTAAATCACTTGGTAAAGGTACTGAACGTAGTCTGGAAAGTGTGTTGCATGCAAGCAAACAGAAGGTCAGTGCAATTGAAAGCATGCTTAGAGGTTTGGATTTGTCTGAGAAACATAATTCAACTCTCCGGTCATCAAGTCTGGATCTAGGTACCTAATGATTTTGCCTATATCTTAGTTTTCTTTCACTGTATAATTTGTAAATTTCAGTATAGGTGGCCTTAGATAGCCCTGGGACTGAACTAGCTGTCTGAATTATCAAAATTGGATTCATTTGTGAGCGGCTAAATTGTTCTCTTTTTGCCCCTAGTGCAGGAGTTGACCCTCCATCATCTCGTGATCCACCATTCCCTGCTGCTGCCCCAGCTTCTAATCATCTTTCAAACTCTTTAATGACAGATTCAACTACTTCAAGTATCAATAAAGGTAGTAACCGCAATGGTGGCTTGGTTTTGTCTGATATCATTACACAAATTCAAGCTTCCAAAGATTCTGGTAAATCGTCATATCGCGGCAATCTCTCAGCTGAAGCTATGCCGACTGTATCATCATACACAATGAAGAGAGCTTCTGAGAGAGGCCAAGAAAGGGGTTTCATTGAAGAGAACAATGACATTAGGGAGGCTAGGCGATTTACAAACTCTCAAATTGATAGGCAGTATGACTCACCTCACAGAGATGGAAACTTTAGGGACTCGCATAATAATTACATCCCCAATTTTCAAAGGCCGCTCTTAAGAAAGAATGTGACTGGAAGGATGTCTGCAGGTAGGAGGAGAAGTTTTGATGATAGCCAGCTCTCAATGGGGGAAATGTCCAATTATGTAGAAGGTCCCACATCTCTAAATGATGCACTGAGTGAGGGACTAAGTCCATCTTCTGACTGGAATGCTAGGGTTGCCGCGTTCAATTATCTCCGGTCTTTGCTGCAGCAAGGTCCAAAAGGCATTCAAGAAGTGATTCAGAATTTTGAGAAAGTGATGAAGTTGTTTTTCCAACACTTGGATGATCCCCACCATAAAGTTGCACAAGCAGCTCTTTCAACACTTGCAGATATTATTCCATCTTGCCGTAAGCCCTTCGAAAGTTACATGGAAAGGATCTTACCCCATGTTTTCTCACGGTTAATTGACCCAAAAGAGTTAGTTAGGCAGCCTTGCTCAACAACTTTGGATCTTGTTAGCAAAACTTACAGTGTAGATTCCCTCTTGCCTGCTTTGCTACGTTCACTAGATGAACAGCGGTCACCAAAGGCCAAATTAGCTGTTATTGAATTTGCTATCAGTTCCTTTAACAAGCATTCAATCAACACTGAAGGTTCTGGTAACAGTGGCATCCTTAAATTATGGCTTTCTAAGTTGACACCATTGGTCCATGATAAAAATACTAAACTAAAGGAGGCAGCCATTACATGCATGATATCTGTCTACTCCCACTTTGATTCAATATCAGTCTTGAATTTTATTCTTAGTTTGTCAGTTGAAGAACAAAATTCTTTGAGAAGAGCCTTGAAACAGTATACTCCTCGCATTGAAGTGGACCTTATGAACTTTTTGCAAAACAAGAAAGAGCGACAGCGCCTAAAGTCTTCTTATGATCCATCTGATGTAGTTGGAACATCTTCTGAAGAAGGATATGTTAGCATCTCAAAGAAGAGTCACTTCTTTGGGAGGTACTCTGCTGGTTCTGTTGACAGTGATGGTGGCAGGAAGTGGAGTTCAACCCAAGAATCAGCCATTGTCACCGGCAATGCTGGCCAAACAGCTTCTGATGAAGCTCGGGAGAAATTGTATCAGAATTTTGAGACTGGTTCCAACAATGATGTTCTCAATTCAAAATCGAAGGATCAGTCTTACACAATCAATCCTGTGAGTCAGAACTTGGGATCCTGGACTAGCCCACTGGATAATATTGATGGTAGAGTAAATTTGGAAGGCTTGTCTGCTACTCCTTGCATGGACGTTAATGGTCTTTTGAGCTTGGACCATATAGGGGCTGGTGAAAGCATTGGGCATGATAGTGAAGCTCCCACTGACTTGGACCCTAATCATGAAAAACTTAAAGCTTTGAAAGCTAATTCTACACCAGACGCAGGTCCCAGTATTCCTCAGATACTTCACCTGGTGAGTTCTTTGACATAATAAGCTCAAATTTTTCGTTAGAAATATTAAGTTTGTTATTAGTATTTTGTTTTAGAACTTTTTATGTTTCTGAACAGTTATTATCATGATGAAAACCTATTTGGATAATTTCACCACTAATCTACTTCTCTGAACAGTCAATATTGATATAATTTTACACTTTCTGGAGCTTTACCGTTGTATTTTTACTTTTCTGTTACTTGCATGTGTGTGTATAGATTGGCAATGGAACTGAGGAAAGTCCTACAGCAAGTAAACGTGGTGCGCTTCAACAGTTAATTGAAGCTTCTCTAGCTAATGAGCACTCTGTTTGGACCAAGGTTGGTTAGTCCTGACCTGTGACTCACTTTCTCTCTTATTCAATGTATGTGTAAAGTTTTTAAAAGTTCTATATAAAACACAAATATGGAATATATAAAGATGAAAAAGAGGGAGTGCTTGCAATGAATTAGAAACTGAGAAGTTGACAAATGTTTGGTTATTGATCAAGAGAAACATGGATAATTTTACAACTTATCCATATTTGTACTTTTTACCCTTCCCTGATTTATTAAATGCTTGTAAATCTTGTGTGATAGATTTTGAAGCATTTGGTGTTTGAAAAAAGAAAAACACAAAGCTGTGGAATGGTGTTAGCATTGAGGGTCACACCAACATCGAGAATTGGCTTAATAATTGATATAGTAGTGACATGTATTATGTAGAAACATGGATTTCAATTAGGGGATGACAAAAATCACCATGTGCTGCTGATTGTGTTGACTGCGCAGTGAAGTCTATGGGATGAGGGGCGTCACACTTTGTTATTGCACTAGAGAAGCAAACTACATATAAACCTGTTTGTGTGTATAAAACTAGAAATGTATGATGTATGCACCAGAGTACTCTCAATCTTATATTAATAATTGTTTTGTGGTATATGTGCAGTATTTTAATCAGATTTTGACAGTTGTACTTGAGGTATTGGATGATTTTGATTCCTCAATTCGGGAACTCTCTCTTTCATTGATCATTGAAATGCTTAAGCACCAGGTCTGTCATTTATTTTTCTGGATATGTGTTGCCCGAAAAGTATTTAGTTCTTACATATTGTAATATTTTATTCCTAATATTGGTTTTATTTGTTTGTAGAAAGATGCCATGGAAGATTCTGTTGAGATTGTAATTGAGAAGCTGCTTCATGTTACGAAGGATGTAGTTCCCAAAGTAACTCTTGTTGAACTAGTTATTTTATTCTACAGTTGCTTTGTTTTCCATGTCTGAAACTAACATAAATTCATGTTCAGGTTTCAAATGAATCGGAGCACTGCTTGAGTATTGTTTTGTCCCAGTATGATCCATTCAGATGTTTAAGTGTATGTATTTATATAACTTGTCTATACAAACCGTATCAAATATTTATTAGCACGCAAAAAAGGGGCACCTGAAAAATAAAATAAAAATCAGAAAACCTTTCAGTTTATTGTTTGGCTTTTCCCCTCTACTTTGTTGTGATTACCATTGATGATGCTGTCAATTGTTGATGCTGCAGGTTATTGTCCCTTTATTGGTAACTGAAGATGAGAAAACTCTTGTTACGTGTATTAACTGTTTGACAAAGGTATTTTACTTTCATGTATTGGAGCTGTATTAGTTGGTTTCTAGTGACTATCGATTTCGCACATAAATTTTAGTTTAGGAGGGGTTCTTCTTTTTCTTTTTTATTTATTCTGGTCCTTTAAGAAAGTTTATTGATCATCTTACAATCAACTCTATTCCAGATGAAAGAAGTGATCTGTTTTCTTCAAAAAACTTTGCATCGCCATTTTAATTTTGCATGCAATTTTATCAACTAATATGTTGCTAAGCCTCTTGTTCTTTTCTTCAGCTTGTGGGCCGGCTTTCACAAGATGAACTAATGGCTCAATTACCATCATTTTTGCCTGCACTTTTTGAAGCGTTCGGAAACCAGAGTGCTGATGTTCGCAAGGTAACGGTTATTGTTTGTCTGATCCGTGTCCCTTAAATTACATAAAGGCCCAGACCTACTCTAATGCGACTGAATTTGTTTCACTTATGTCATGCAGACTGTCGTCTTCTGTTTAGTTGATATATATATCATGCTTGGAAAAGCATTCTTGCCATACCTGGAGGGGCTCAACAGCACACAGTTACGGTTGGTGACTATATATGCGAATCGAATTTCGCAGGCCAGGACAGGCTCGCCGATAGACACTAACCACGATTAGCGGATTGGTTCATTTAGGTACGAATTGTGGGTTTGGGTGGTTGTTGCCTTGTTCATCTGTTGTGTATTTTGTATATTGTGTGAATGCATTTTGACTTGTATTTTTTAATTTTATTTCACATGTTTGTATTTTCTTATTCTTTTTCAAATTCTCATGCGTGTCTGGTTTGGAGGTAGAGAGTGCATTTTGTGGGAAACAATTAGTGTTACAGCGCACATATTGTAATCTAAAATTTTCCCAAACAGCGTTTATATATAAAAAGAAAGGTTTTGGAATTAACATTCAATGAAAGTTATTACGAAATGAGCTTCATATATTCGGTGTTCTTGTTGCCATTTTATGTGTTGGGTACGAGTCTATGAGCCATAACCAAGGCACAAGGATTCTTATGCCTTGTCATTTATACGGGATGAATGTACCCGAAAAGAAAAAAATTTATAATAGAAAAAGGGAAAGAATGAGAACAATATTGCATGAGTTTTGAAGAAACTACCAGAATGATGAACAGCAGCAATAAAATTGATAACGATTATTTTTTAAAATGAATGAGGAAGGGAGATTCAAACTCGACACCTCTTTTAACATTAGAAAGAAAATTATCACGAATAGAAGTGTAGAATTGTTCCAACAATATGATCAGTCACTGATAACAATTTTGGTTCATATGCTTAGAGTCCTGCAAACCAGCAAAGAATGGTAAAACTTGAATTGAGTTTGAGTTACCAAGCGCAACACATGATGATCATTAACTATTTTATTTTTGAAGGATTTGCATTATAGTTAATATAGATCTTAAAGTGCTTGTTGGTGAGCCCTTCAATTTCCTTCTATAGCCTCCCTCTTGATGCTTGAGGTACAACTCCTCCTTTATGCAGGAAGGAAGAGGAACATGCATTTCTTGATGCCGGTGGTGATAAGTTACCGTAATCTCAGACGCCCTTTAGTCCATCCAAGTTTGTTCCGATCCTGCGAGAGCTCGAAAACTAGGGGTAGACGGAGGCCAGGCAAATAATCAAACCAAAGCAGAGGACTCTCTTAATAAGCGGTCTTATGTTCTTAATGTCTTTCTGCTTTCTTTTTGGAAGGCTGATGTGCCCCTTGAAGAACAAATAAACACTGAGAAAGTATCAAACATGTGTGCTTGGCCTCTGAAAAACAATGCTTTAAGTAACAAGGAACACATCATGGAAAACTATATATGCTCCAACCAAATTGGTTTTAGATTTGCCAAGTTGAAATAGACACAAAGAGAGCATCAAACTTGTGTGTTGGCCTGTTAAAAAGAATGTTACATGAAACACATGAACCATGCTCTAAATTTAAGTTTTGGTGCATATTGGTGAAACGTGGAAAATATTTAGAGAGAGAGAGAGAGAGAGAGAGAGAGATACAGGTGGGCATGACATTCTGGGATCAATTGGTACAATCATTCAAAGCTTCATTATCTACCAGACTTCTACACCATCACGTCAAAATCTCCAAAAGATTCTTCTTCTGTGTAGTCTGTGCCCCATAGAATTTAGAGTCTCTTTCTCTCTCTCTCTCTCTCTCCTCTCTCTCTCTCTCTCTCTCTCTCTCTCTCTCTCTCTCTCAATCCCCATGTGGTGCTGGCTCTCTCACTTAAAACCCATAACCAGTTTAAGTAAGTATGTCTATATATGTATATGTTATGTACATCCTGATAGCTAATTATAATCACAATAATTATGAGCATTATGTGTGATCACGGGTAGATCAGTTTTTTTCTTTTTCAGGTGCCTAATTGTTTCTGGCATCAATATGTATATTTAGTCCAATTACAGTGACATATAACCATCGCCATTATGTCACATAATGATCGGGCATAATTGTGTATGTCTTTTTTCAAAGTTGGGTCAGCATGGAATTGAAAAACCTACCACTCTTTAATTTTTTATTTTTTATTTTTACTCGTAACGTTACTATTTACATAACTTATCATGTATTCCACTTTCACGTCCAAAACGTTATTATTAACATGACTCATCACGTGTTGCACGCAAACGCTTAAAACGTTACTATTTACATGACCTATCACGTGTTTCACTCACACTCAATCTGTCTATACGTCATGAATATCTCGTAAAACAATTTGTTGGAAAGTAATCAGAAAAACGGGTAAAGTGAGAAGTTTTAGATTTTGAGTCTTGTTGTAAGCAAAGAGAATAGATCTTATAAATAAACTGCAACTTAATTCTTGATTTCAAAGTTACAATGTCAATGAATTTGGACACTGATTTGGCAGTCGAGAAGCTAATATGATTCCTAAAGAAGTGAACCAAAAAAGGTAATATTTCAAATTATGGAAGTTGTGTGCCGTGTTGGATAACATGGTGTAAGTTTCTTTCTACTTTTAAGTTGGGTTATTAAATTAGACCCAAAAAAACAAACAAATTTGGGGCTATTAAATGCTGAACTTAGAGGGTGAAAAAAGAGAGAGCAACTCAATCTTTTTACCTTTGCTGCTGTCATCCATATTTCAATTTTGCAAAGAAGACCTGAAAGAAGGCAGAGGCGTCTGATTTTTTCATATCAACAATTAAGGAAAAAATCAGCCATTGTTAGATTTTCAGATTCTCAACTAAATCCAAGTGATACTCTGTGTATCCCCACATGGCCACTTTTATCCTTTTTCCTTCTTTTTGTTTTTGTTTTTGTTGTGGAGTATCCTTTTTCCAGTTGCTGCTGCTGCTTTTTATAAGTAGATTGAAATTGCAGCATGGGAAGGAGAATTAGCAGAAACACCATTCTTAATCTCTTGAAATATCTGTGTTCAGCAGCATCTTAAGGTACCTTCTGACCCTTTTGCTTGAAGACATTAATTCTTTCTCAAGTTTACTGCAATTCAATTCATCTTTTTGCAAGGTATAACAATTAACCAATGGTTTTCAAGCTCATAATGAGGAAGTAATTTGAATTCTCATGGCTTTAAATTCTCTCACTCATAAGAGTAACCTCTCTGGGACATAATGCTGAAAATATACTGATTTCTTTTCTTTCTGTGTACATACAGATCTCTTTTTTCCTGCCTCATATTAACACAAGCTTCTCACGCTGGCTGTTGTGTATGCAGGAAAAGAAGTTTGTGGGTTCTGAATAAACCAAGAAGGGAAACAATGTTGAAGAACACAAAGGCAGCAACCAAGATAACCGCGCTTGTTGTAGACGACAGCTTGATCAACCAAAGAATTCACCACAAACTGTTGGAAAATCTTGGCATAGAAAACCAAGTTGTGGGGAATGGGAAAGAAGCCATTGATGTCCACTGCTCTGGAAAACACTTTGACCTTATTCTCATGGACATGGACATGCCTATCATGAATGGTATTGAGGTATGAACTTAAGTAAAATAAAGACACAAAATTCACAACTGATTTTGCTTGTTAATGTTTCTGAATTTGTTTGTGCTGTCTTTTGAATTATAGGCAACAAGAACACTGCGTGCAATGGGAATTCGGAGCACAATCGCAGGCGTTTCGTCACACTCATCCCTCAGTGAAGACACACAAGAATTTATAGAGGCAGGCTTAGATGACTACCAAGAGAAACCATTAACCCCTGCTAAGCTAGTTGCCATCCTCCATAAGGTTAATCTCCATGTCTGAATTTCATGGATTAGTATTAAGAAGCAAAGCAGAAAGGTCAGGTTATCCATGTAATGTAACCCACTGACCATTAAGTAGCTCTTGAGATGTTGTGGTGGGTGTGATTAATTAACAATTCAAAGCTCCCATAAAAAATATTTCATGTAATCAATATGAGAAAGTTTTACCTCCTCTTCCTTATACTTTCTTACACTCTGTTCCTTTTGGTGTGTTGGTGGAATGGTTTGGCTCCTAATTACTATTATTCCAAGAAAATCTTTTTTTTTTTTTTTAGGTCTGGACCCAGAAAATATAATTAGTTGTTAGAAAATGGTAAATTATTTATTGTAAAAATCTTTTGGCACAAAAAAAAAAGTCTGCGATTTGATGAGACAAATGTGATTTAATTTTTTTTTTAATCTACCAAATGAGTTTGGCTCCTAATTACTATTATTCAGAAAGTCTTTGCATGCATAAAATCTATGGAGAACTACTCATCTAAAAAATAAATGATATATTCTTAAAAAATAAAATAAAAACAAGATCATGAGATTAATAATTTGAAGGAAATTATTTATTTCATTGGACTAAAAATTCAGCTTTATTAATATTGGGTTAGATAATCCGACCCGAGAAAAACATTGGGTCAGAAAGTATTGGTCTACAGAGGGTCCAAATGAAAGCCCACAGTCCAGCATTTTTCAACAGAAGGGTCCGTGGCTTTCGGCTATAGTAACTGGACGTTGCCTTCTCCAAACCCCGCAAAACCCTAAACCCTAACATAAACCAAATCCTTCTAGACTTTTCTCTGCTCCACAATTTATACTCTCCTTCTCTCTGCCTCTCTCTTTTACCTGAGAGCTCGTACTTTCTTATTCTACTTTCTCTCTTCTCTGCAAGTTCATCATGTACCGCTTCGCCGGTAGCCTCGCCTCTAAAGCCAGGTACTCGCATCTGGGCTCTTTAAAAATTCCGACTTGTGGCCAAAAGTCACTTTTTAAAAATTGTTTTCTCATCTTGGTCTCTCTCATTTTTCTCATTTTTATTGATTTGTGGTTGTAGGTTGGCTAGGAACTGTACCCAACAGGTACTTATTCTTCCTTTTCCTTTTTAAAGTTGTGATTTGGTATTGTTTAATTGTGTTTTGATGTGGCTTAGTTTTTTTTTCCTGTACAGATTGGTAGTAGTTTGATTTCGAGAAGGAACTATGCGGCCAAAGATATCAAATTCGGTGTGGAAGCCCGGGCATTGATGCTCAAGGGTGTGGAAGAGCTCGCTGATGCTGTTAAAGTCACAATGGGGCCAAAAGTGAGTGGCTTTGTCATTCTTGATTTATTTGTTATTGATTGATTGCGTACTATGACTTTGGAACAGTGATGTGTATATTGATAGTAATTTTTTGCGTTTAGTTGTCATATGCTTATATTTACATCTTGGTGATGCATTGATGTTGTTTCGCTTCACTTCCTTAGACGTAGTTTAATCTTTCTGCAATGTGTCGGATTCATTTTTTGTTTTTTCATTTGGCAATTCCTGCAAATGGGCAGTATTCAAATGGTTGACTTATTGCTTGATTTTCCACAGGGACGCAATGTTGTTCTGGAACAAAGCTTTGGGGCCCCTAAAGTGACAAAGGATGGTGTCACTGTAGCAAAGAGCATTGAGTTCAGAGATAAAGTCAAGAACATTGGTGCTAGTCTTGTAAAGCAGGTCGCAAATGCTACAAATGATGCTGCAGGGGATGGTGAGAGTTCCATACAGTATGTAAAACTGTTTGTAAAACTTTGTGATCAGGAAGACAATGACATGAAGGTTGTTATTTGTGTTTGCAGGTACCACTTGTGCTACAGTCCTCACCCGCGCTATATTTACTGAAGGATGCAAATCAGTGGCAGCTGGAATGAATGCTATGGACCTAAGACGAGGCATTTCAATGGCAGTTGATTCTGTTGTGACAAACTTGAAGAGTAGGGCTCGGATGATCAGCACATCTGAAGAAATAGCTCAGGTCTCTGGTTTGTTTTAATTTGAGAATTGAGAGAAATAATATGAATGTCTAAATTTTATAATGACGTTGTTTTTTATGACATCTTTTTTTCTGAATAGGTTGGGACCATATCAGCTAATGGAGAGAGAGAAATTGGTGAACTAATCGCTAAGGCTATGGAGAAAGTTGGCAAAGAGGGTGTTATTACCATTGCTGTAAGTTGTTTCCTTAGAATATTCCTTTGTTTTCAATCATTTTTTGTGAATAGTATCTTATTCTGACGTGGTGGGGCACAGTAGAGCTTCTCTTCATTCTCTATATGCATTGATGTGAATTTTGTTTTGCTTTTGAATTGTTTCAGGATGGAAAAACATTGTATAATGAATTGGAGGTTGTTGAAGGAATGAAGCTAGATAGGGGATATATATCTCCTTACTTTATTACCAATCCTAAGAACCAAAAATGTGTAAGCATTTTTGTCATTATTTGTCACTGTTTTATTATAAGCCCATGTTTCATGGTTCTTCAGTTGGAAGGCTTTTTCTTTAAGTCATCTTGGGATTATTTAGTTATCCCACTTTTTTTCAAGCTGCTCCATTGTGATCGATAACTAGATGTTTTAATTTTAACAGGAATTAGAAGATCCACTTATCTTAATCCATGAGAAGAAAATCTCAAATCTAAATTCGATAGTGAAAATATTAGAGCTGGCATTGAAGGTAAGTGTTTCTCTGAGGGGATTATTGAAATCTGGTGGATATACTTCTCTTATTGCTTTGGCTGATTTGTTGTGGGTTCTCAGAAGCAAAGACCTCTTCTGATTGTTGCTGAAGATGTGGAAAGTGAAGCACTTGCTACACTCATTATAAACAAGCTTCGTGCTGGAATTAAGGTGATCCTTGTGTTTTCTATTATGTACCGACTATGTGTCCACTGTCAAAAATTGTTGATCGACTATTATTTCATTGTTTTGATACGATTCTGTTAACGGATTGAAGGTTTGTGCAATTAAAGCCCCTGGATTTGGAGAAAACAGGAAGTCAAATTTGCAGGACCTAGCCATTCTTACGGGAGGCGAGGTAGTTTCATTCTGTATTTTAACTTTTCCTTGAAAACTTTAAGCTATTGTGAGACTGACATGTGAACCACTTTGTTTTCATTTTCCTATTTTTGTTTTTGTTTTTTTGGGTTCTAGGTAATAACTGAAGAGCTTGGTCTGAACCTTGAAAAAGTTGGAGTAGAAACACTTGGAACCTGCAAAAGGGTGAGATATATCAAGTGATTTGTTAGCATATGTTCCTAATCTTGGTGACAATGTCTGCTCTAAATAAGTTGAAATATTTTATGACTTGCATGGTCTGGTATTATAGGTTACAATATCAAAAGATGACACTGTTATTCTTGATGGGGCTGGTGACAAGAAAGCCATTGAAGAAAGATGTGAACAGGTTTATACTGATTCTTATTGTTTAATCGCTTCCAACAACTATTCTGGGTTCCAGTGCATTTGTTAACTGGATATGTGGACTTTGATTGTTTGTGACAGCTGAGATCATCAATTGAATTGAGCACTTCTGATTATGACAAGGAGAAGTTACAAGAGCGGTTGGCAAAGATTTCTGGAGGTGTTGCCGTTTTAAAGGTTGGTTTTCCTTCTGAAAATTGGCTACTGTTTTCTGCCCCTTCTATTTGTCTGGGGTGACAAGTTTAACTTCTGGAACATCTTGCAAGCACATTGCTGTAACTACCATTTGCAGTATACTGGTGCCAGCTCTTGAAAACAAGTCTGATTGAGACCTACTTTGTAGATTGGCGGAGCTAGCGAAGCAGAAGTTAGTGAAAAGAAGGACAGAGTAACTGATGCTCTAAATGCCACCAAGGCTGCTGTAGAGGAAGGAATCGTACCTGGTAAGTCGTTTTTCCAGAAACATATTTTGTTTGTCTTGTTCGAATCGGGTTATATCTTATAGTAAGTAAGAGCTTCCAATGTACAGGTGGTGGTGCTGCACTGCTATATGCCTCAAAGCAGCTGGACAAGTTGGCAACTGCAAACTTTGACCAGAAGATTGGTGTTCAAATTATTCAGAATGCTCTTAAGGTTTCGATAAAAATCTGTTCTCCTTTATAGTTTCTTCTCATGCTCTTGGGGTCTTTCTGTACTGCAAATAATACAATTTCTTAAGTTAGAGGCACAGCTTTGTAATTTATCCATCTACATTTTATCTATCTTACCATTTGGTTCCATTCTTATAGATGCCTGTATCCACAATTGCTTCTAATGCTGGAGTTGAGGGGGCAGTTGTTGTTGGCAAACTATTGGAGCAGGACAATCCTGACCTCGGATACGATGCAGCAAAAGGTTGGTTGTCTTTCTAACCATTGAACGATCACAAAAAAGGGTGGCTTCAGTTCAGGCGTAGTTCTAGCATTGAAAAAAGTTAGATGAAAACTTATCCTTACTCTGCTCCTTTCAGGTGAGTATGTAGACATGATAAAGGCAGGGATCATTGATCCATTGAAAGTCATCAGAACTGCCTTGGTCGATGCCGCAAGGTAATTCAGAGTTTTTTATAAGACCCTTCTTTTTAAAGTTAATTTCCCTTTCTTTAAGAACTTGCTGCAATTCTTCAAGCAAGCACTGAAACTTGTCACTTTGCAGCGTGTCCTCGTTAATGACCACGACGGAGGCAGTTGTCGTTGAGCTTCCCAAGGATGAGAAGGAAACCCCTGGAATGGGAGGTGGCATGGGAGTCATGGATTACTAGAAGTTCTATCAACATGTTGGATTCAGTAGAGGCTGCTTCCTTACTGAGGCTCACACCTTCCTCGTTTATCCTTATTCAAACTGAGTTCTCCAATTTCTCGCTTTTATACTCTTTTTTTTCTTCAATGGTATTGGAGGCTGAACACGAATGTAATCATAGTGAGAGAGGTTAATTGTGCAGGAACATTTTACACCAGTTGTAGTCTCTGGTGGTATTTATGATTTTGTTGTTCTCACCACCTACCTTCTTAGTCTGCATTGTGAGTAAAAAAAACAAATCTTGATAATAAAATATATAAAATACTGGGTTAACCCGTGATTTATAAGATTCTGTGCAAAAACTGAAAATAATGGTTTAGTTAATATTAATAAGATTATTATTGTGTAAATTCTTCCGTAAGGCATACATTAAATAAACTGAAAACATATAGAATAAAGTGAGATTTTGAGGAAGAAGTTTTCTCACATACACACTGTCAATGTGCCGTGGGATTCGAATCTTAGACTACTAAAGTTAGGATTCTTTTTTATTGGACTATACCCATGAGCCAATTAGAATTTGAGAATAAGCAAAGCTTGTTATGTGGTTATGAAGCCACTTGGTGACCACTTCTTGTTAAAGGCAAAGAAGCAAAGTTGGTGATGAAGGAAGATAAGTGGGTCACCCAAGGTGGTACTCAAATGTCGGTGAAATTGCCAACATGGCATGCTCACTCATTGCCACGTCTGCACGCCTTACGAAGAAGATTCCTCTACTATCTCCATATATATGCTTCTATTTTACTCCTGTATTCGACCCTAACAATATATATTTAGGGCCCGTCTTGAGGAGAGCCGAATGAAGGAAACAGTTCGGGTCCTTTCTTTGTTGGCCTAAAAAATCCCACTTATTAGAACCAATAATTTGGACTAAATCCGTCACATAAATATTAGACGACTAACTAGGTAAAGGAAATCTCAAGTTTGATTTCCATGATTTTTGAGAACGGTATATATTTGTAATGAGTTACGATAAAAGCAGCCTTCAACTGTTTAGCTCGAATATAGTGATTTTATTTATTTACAACAAAAGTGGCCTTCAACTGTTATAATAAAAAAATATATATATATATACGTAATAGTCTAAACTAAAGGGTGGGTTTCTCACACACACTACTAATGTGTTATGAGAGTTCTAAACTCAGATCTCTGGTCTACAAGTCAAGACTATTTTCCAAAGTTAGACCCCGTTACAAAAATACACAAGAAGATAAAAACTGATAAATCACTGATAAATGCATGATAATAATTAATCTGATTGACTTATAAATTTCTGAGCCAGTGCCGAAAGGAATTTATATAGGGTAGTAGTAATAGGTAAGCGGTGACATCTTTGTGTTAGAATGGTGCCAAAGACGACTTGTCGTGTAGCCCTCCTCCTCCGGGAGGATCGCAGAGCCCAAGCGAGAGGCACTGGTTAAGAGGGAGAGAGGAGGACATTGACCAAAGACGACCATAGCTAAAATTAGCTAGTTGTTATGATGGGAAAAGAATCCATATGATATGCTGCCAGCAGCACATGGGATGCTATGGTAGGCCTCTATTTTAATATATATATATATTTTATATATTTATAGCTGACTAATTCGAAAAATGTTGCAGGTTTTTGGACTCTTTTAGTAAGGTCTGATGTAATGCATGTCAGGAATTTTTCAAGTACATGCTTTATTGCTTTGCCAATGGAACAAGACATAAGTACGTAATTTCGTCTTATACTTTTCCAATTCATGTGTGCAGAAGTACTACCTCTAGTGATCACAATTAGGGTGTGTATGGTTTGATTTTGTTCGGTTTAGGTTTTAAATTGAACACCGACAAGGGTGAGGCTATCTAAAATTTATAGCCCGTCTTTTTAAAAATTCATAGATCCAGACATACCGAATCAATGAATAATCACGGATTTAATTTGATTCATGAGAGAGATAGAGAGAGACAATGCATATGTGAAAACTGTAGAATGATGTTCCTATTCCATGTCCATTAATTTATACCCAACAGCTTCGTTCCACCACAAGTTGGTCTTATTTTAAACAAGTTCGACAACCAAATCCCTAAATTAGGTTACTGATAACACGACTACAATCGTTTTCTTCGGGCCCACGCCATGAACCTAAATCCACGTATATTATTCTTTTTAATCAATAAAATTTGACGAGTACCATCTACCATGCATGCATGGTTACATGACATGACATGGGCAATGGAAATTAAAGTCCACGTGTCAAATATTTAAGTATGGCTTTTGTTGGTCTAAGATTCTGTGAGAGAGGAAACCGCTAAATGAATTAAGTTTAAACTTGGAGACGGTTTACCGTTAATTGTCATTTTCCAAATAAAGCAATCCCACTCAAGCCCAATCATGCTATATAATATTTCTATATTATTATTTGTGACGGGTATTTATAATTAGAATTAGGATGGTGATGCGTGCAGACTGCGACGTATATAATCTGGAATTAATAGTGAGATGATACAAAGATTAAATTATAGAGGAAGAAAGTACAAATTAGAGTATGAATTTATTACTGTGTTTGTATTTAATGTGAATTCGTATTGTCGGTGCACGTACTCCAGCAATGAAATAATGAAATGTATTTTTGTATACTAAAATTCTGCCAGGATTTCACCAAGAAAACTAACTTAGCATCAAAATGAGTTGATTGGGATGTTTGACTAAGCAATCAAGTAATGATCCGTCAACAATATATAAGACAAAGCAAACATACATAACCCACAATTCAAGTAAATACACAAAAAAGTCAAGGGTGGATGAATTTCAATTGGAAAAAATAATCATTATCGATTCAATTCTGCATCTCGAAACCCTGTCCAAACAAAGAAAGAAGCACGACTTAGATTCTCCATCATAATCTAAGCATGGGCCTAATCTGAATTTAAGTACGCAGATGAAATAATTAAAACCGTACGTCATCCATTATGTTCGTTTATTAATTTCCATAAGTCAAAAAAATAAGAGAGAGAGAGAGAGAGAGAAAAGAACAGAAAAGGACAGAGCGCAAGTGGGATGGTGTGTGCCAGATGCAGCCTTCTTCTTATGAACCAAAAATTGAAGTGGCAGTTAACAACGGACGGTCGTGATTAGTCATTTTCAGCTTAACAAAAAGCTAAAACCTTTGAGAAGTCGAGGTTATATAAGCTGACTAGGGAAGTGAGACCGTCCTCTTGCATGCAAGTTGGAGTTTTTCTGATTTATATTATATCGCTTTTATATATATATAAATAAACCTTAATAACTCGAATTTGTAATAAATGTGAATTAGACTAGTTGTCTAAGATAATATATCCGCCTCATTTTGATCCCTTTCGTTTCTACAAATCAAAAAAACAAAAACTCGAGTTTGCGTTTGCGTTTAATTGTTTGTTTTATATTATAAAACATAACATATAACATAACATGAGAGAGAGAGTTATGGCGAAAATGAAAAAAGAAATGGGACTCATCGCTTGGGAAAACACAGAGTTTTGCATAGCGTCAAAATTTCATTTCGTCTCTTTCCTTGCTACTATTATTATTATTATTATTCGGAGAGAGAGAGAGAGAGAGGAGAGAGAGTGAGAAGACCTTATCTTTGTGGAAGTAAGGTAGCAAGTAGTGTTAGGCTGCTTAACCCCGCGACACAATGAGACAGAGAGACCCCCCCAACACCAAATCTTCTCTATAGATTTTGCTCCATTAATTTCCCAATCACCACCCTCCTCTGCGCTTTCCACACTTGGAAATTCCCAGCCACCCAATTATTCTATCAAAGTACTTCCTCAGTCTCTGCATCTCTGGTCGGTCCAGATATGGGGAAGAAGAAGTACTTCCTCTTCCTTTGTATAATTTGAAGCCGTAAGCAGCTTCATCTTCATCCCCTTTTTATAGTAATTTTTGTTTTTCTTCTTAATTTTGGTTCCAAGTTTAATTTTTGATTGGGTTCAGGACTAAGTTACTGATTCAATAAGAGAAATGATGAATCGGTGCGTCCCCGATTTTGAAATGGAGGATGATTATTCAATTCCCACTTCCTCTGCCCCGAACCGCCCCAGAAAATCATCCCTGTAAAAATTTATCTTATTTTTCAATTTTTTGTCAAATTTATTAATCGCAATTTATTTATGACATACATGACATGTTGCAGGCCAGATGATGAGATCATGGAGCTGCTATGGCAAAACGGTCAAGTTGTGATGCAGAGCCAGAACCAAAGGCCTTCGCCTAACAACAAAAAGTCGTCACAGGCCCCATCCAAATACGACGCAGTCTTGCCCGAAGACAGAGACATCCCCAGACCCCAAAACCACCAGCTGTTTATGCACGAAGACGAAATGGCCTCTTGGCTTCAGTACCCTCTCGTCGACGACCCCTTCTGCGCCGACCTTCTCTACCCCGATTCCTCCACCGTTCATCAACCCAACACCACCGCCGGGGCCGAACTCCGGCCTAATCCTATTTCGGCGCCGCCGTCCAAGCCGCCGATTCATCCGCCCAGGAGGACCGAGCTCCAGAACTTTCTCCACTGCTCCAAGACCAACAACAACAAGGCTAGGGTTTCGGAAACGGCGCCGTCCAGCTCCAAGAGCGTGGTGAGGGAGTCGACGACGGTGGTGGACTCCTGCGATACTCCGCTGGTGGGCCACAGCTCTAGGGCTTTGGATTCCGGGCTCGACGGCGGCGGCGGCGGAGGTCCTGCCGGTGCTGCGACGTCGTTTGCTACTGGTGTTACTGCTAATGCTGCGACGTCGTTTCCGGGGAAAGAGATTATGACGTGTGAGATGTCGCTGACTTCGTCGCCCGGCGGCTCCAGTGCGAGTGCCAGCGCGAGCGCCGAGCCCATATCGTCTCAGAAGCCGCGGGCGGGCGAGGATCGGAAGCGGAAAGGGAGAGAAGCCGAGGACGACGGCGAGTTTCAGAGCGAGGTGAGTGAGTGAGTCTGAGTCAGCACAAATTTGTTTTTTTACTAAGTAGTGATGATAACGATAACATTTTCTGTGAAAAATGAAATTAACTAGTTTCCAGAATTGGAAAATAAATAAATAAAAAATAAAAAATCTATTGTTCTCTTTCCCAAGGTGTTGTTTGTTGCCTGGTCTCGGCTAACGTGCGCAGGTGGGGGGGAGGTAACGTCGGTAATCGTGCGCACTGCGCCCCCAGTACCCTAGGCTATAACCCTATAGAAACGCTACATCCAATATGTGCGTCAGTGTTTTTTCTGGCCCCGTCACTTCAGTTGTGCGCCGTACACGTGGCAGTTCTGTTCTTATGATTAAAGTTTCGCACGTGTACAGTACAGTAGGAAGGAGGAACATAAATTTTCTGACAATAAAATTGAATGGAAGATGATTGGTAGCTGGTGTAGGTAGCAGTGAATTTCTAGTGAAACTGCATTAATACCCTCCAAAAATGATTTATTAATCATCATGGGCTACACGTGGCTTTTCACAGGACTTGTTTGTTTCTTCGTCCCATATTAGTCTTCCTTCTGACCCAAAAAATAAAAATAAAAATAAAGTAGCCTTCCCTCATTATCTGGATATTTATTTGGTAAATTATCAGGAAATACTATTGATGTGGGATTATTTATTTATTTATTTATATTCAACAAGAAAAATGATAGCTCTATTACTTTTGATAGGGCCTTGGAAATTTATTCAGGATTCAAAATCAGTTCATGGTTAGTGTAAGACAGTAGAGTGAGTAGCCAAATTGGTACCTGGTGTGTATGCATGCATTGACAGAAAGTAGAGTTAGATTATAATTGGTTTTGTTTGGTTAGATATGTTGATGCCTTTGTTAATTGTGAAACCAATACAAAAATGTAAAGATGTTAAGTTTATAATGCCATGTATAATTCAGTTGGTTGGATTGGTCAGGGCATTCATGTTTGTATTTTACCTTTCAGCAGTAGGGACCATGAAGAAGATGATATTTCCTATACTCATTGCAATTTACTATTGGATATTAGAAGTAATTGTTCTTTTCTCTGATGATTTTAAACAGGATGTTGAGTTTGAATCTGCCAATGGAAAAAAGCAAGCCCGAGGATCAACGTCTACAAAGAGATCCCGTGCTGCCGAGGTCCACAATCTCTCCGAGAGGGTCTGTACTTTAGCTTGAACTACAGCTTCACTGATAAAAACAAGTTGTTCACCTTCCTTCTCAGGTGACGTTATTTCTCTTGAAAATGGCTAAGTATTGAATCTATGTGCAGAGACGTCGAGATAGGATAAATGAAAAGATGAAGGCTTTACAAGAACTAATACCTCGTTGCAACAAGGTTTTCATACTAATTAAATCTTCTATGGAATTTCACAAGCATTTTGAATTGCTTTCTCCATTAGATCCAAATGCGGTTTCTTTTTTCACGTTCTAAAAATACTCTTCTTTTTTTGTGTATTCTGTATCATCAGTCAGACAAAGCGTCAATGCTGGATGAAGCAATTGAGTACTTGAAATCACTTCAGTTACAAGTACAGGTATGCTCTTGTCTTGTTTTCCACTGCTATATATAATTTCAAGCTGAAGACAGTGGTAACTTAATGGAGAATCAATCTTTTGTCACTCTTAACTGTGAAAAATATCCAAGTAAGAAATAGCGAGAAGAGAAAAGATCAATAACGCGTTCATGCATTATTTATGATACCAATTAGATTGTAACCAATTTCTGCAGATGATGTCCATGGGATGCGGCATGGTACCTATGATGTTTCCTGGTGTTCAGCAGTATATGCCGATGGGGATGGGGATGGGAATGGGAATGGGAATGGGCATGGGAATGGAAATGGCGGGCATGACCCGGCCTATGATGCCATTTCCGAATGTGCTAGCTGGTTCATCCATGCCAACAGCGGCTGCACATTTGGGACCTAGGTTCCCTGTGCCACCATTTCATATGCAGCCTATTCCTGCAAATGATCCTGCCAGAGTTCAAGCAACAAATCAGTCAGATCAAATGCTAAACGCGCTTGCTGCTCAAAATCCGAACCAATCACGTATGCCAAATTTTGCAGATCCTTATCAGCAGTTTTTCAATCCCCAGCAGATGCAGTTGCCACTACAGCGGGTATGGTGTTGGTTCTAACATAAAATTATTACTTACAAATTTTTCTTCACATAAAATTACCTGTATTCATGGCTCCATTTCCTGTTACAGAATCAAGCAATGGCTCAGCCTAGTAGCATGCCAAGTTCCAGTAAGGGACCTGAAACTCACGAAAATCATCAATCAGGTAAAAATACTTTTTAACTTTTGTTTTACTTTGTGTAATTTTCAAGATTAATTCGGTTCTCCCCTTGACCCCAGTGAATTCTTACAATCTTACAAAAGCAAATACCTTCATCTTTAAATTTACCTGATGATTTTTTAAATAGATATGACCCATCAGTAGGTAGAGTCAACTGTCCACTGCCATGAGAATGGAAGTGCATTGTGGTTTTAATGTCGTTCTTAATCATCGAGGGTCGCATGGAAAGTGGAAGAACTGATGGTGAAACTTATTGTGCATTGCAGGTTGAAGTTGTGAAGTGGATGGATAACAGAAGGCTCTTTGCCTGCTAAGTTTTGTAGTCTAAGCTCTGAGAGTAGTTTTTTCTCCTTTTTGGGTTCTTGTGAGGCTAAAATGCCATATAACAAAGCTTACATGTAATTATTACAACCCCATAGCAATATATTTACCATTTTCCTATTTTGATTTTGTCGCTCTCAGAAGCTGTGAAAGGTATCAAGTTTACAATGAGTGATCACAAAGTTCCTGGGACCTGATCTAAAGATGGAAGATGCTGAGAGATCCTTCTGGTATCGTTTTCTGCTTTCATGTGATTTGCAAAAGCAGCCCAAGATAAAAATAAAGGTGTCTGCCCATCAATTCATTTCTTGAGTTGTCTTTTTCTTGGTGAAGAAGATATTATCAAAATCCCCAATAACACTGGAGGACAACCTATATAAGTCTAAGGCAAAAGTCCACCTCGGAAACCTTTGTGCTCAATATCCGGCAAAGGCATATTGATCACATCCTCCACCAAAGATGCGAGAATATCTTTTACAAGAAATCCTATTTTCTTTGCTTTATTTTCCTGGTTAACCATGAAAGAGTAAAAGATGCCCGCAGGAAACTCGAGAGACATTTATATGCTAACTATAAATTGTTTGACGAGATTTTCTTCAACTTACATCAGCTATTGCACATTAAAATTTCCGTAGTTCAAACTTGGAACCCGATGACAAAATTCTTGACCACGTCCAAGATGGAAGCACAATATTCTTAATGCGTTTCGTGAAGTTGAAGATGTCTCGATGGTGGAGAGCTTTAAAATCAGATTTCTTCCCTGTGTAAATTTGTCCTTCATGAAGTGCTTGTAGTTATGAGCCAAGGGTAGATAGGATCTGAAGACAGAAATCCAAACAGTATTTAGAGCTCAGGCTTTTATTCAAGTGAACTGATGATGATCATATGGCAACCAAAACAATTTATAGATGTATAAGCAGAGAGTATTCTCTAATAGTAGCAACAGAGGGCATCACCTTGTCCGTAAATATCCGAAACACATCCACACCCATAGCTTTCTCAAGTTCCTGATGATAGTATAGAACATGATTACCAAACATTATTCTCCATTTTAGTCAAGACAGTTTGATTTCAGAGCGAGTATCATGCCTAACTGAAAAACATTTGATAAAGAAAATACTTTGGTCTTGATTGAAGTAAATGACCCCACTCACTTTCTCTGCATCTGGTGAACAATCTATATTTAGAATGAGCTTCTGAAGGTTTTCATCTTTCAAAGCACTGCAAATTTCACTGGAAGAAGCTACAAAAGGGAAAAAAACGAGGGTTGATAATCAGGGGGAGCAATCATATCAGTTGCGGATTGAAAACTGTAATGTTCTTATTAGTTGCCTAGTCCAACAATTTCCTTCAACCAGAGATTCTAAGCGGGATAATTACCATCAAACAAGTAGATGTGGGACAGTTCTCTGGAGCCAAACCATGCAGCAAAGCAGCTTTGGTGTATGTAGATAAATTGTTGCCTAATCTAGACTACTGAACATATAGATTCACTAAAAAGACCAGCAGTTAACGTAATTGGAACCAATTCCGACCAAAAAAAAAAAACGTAATTGGAACCAATTCCGACCAAAAAAAAAAAACGTAATTGGAACCATCGTAAATGACTATAAGTCACCACATTGGGGATTACCTCAAATGCTCAAAGGAGCCTTCTAAGAGTTTCGGGGAATGATGATGGCAAAATGATGGAAAGGTTCAAAGGTTCAGAATAAGAATAACCAACACCATAAACCTTGGCTTGTCTTCTGTTCAGCATACTTGCAGAAACCTCCTTAGTTCTAACAGTTTTGATTTCAACCAATAAAATAACCTCCTTTTGGTTTCAGCTTAGATGACAACAGCCTCTTTCATTCTCCCGTTTTACCTTAAAGGCGTTAGATTAAATCTGGCATGAACATCATTTATACTTCTAAATATTTTGGAACCTAGGTCTTAGTATCCTCCGCTTTCTAAGTTCCCCAATGGCCATCTTGTGTAGTTAAGTTAAAAAATCTAATGCATTTCCAAGCTTAGTTATAAAATCCTTACCCACAGCCTCTAGTTGTAGCCTTTGCAGCACTTCGCTCGGTTCCTCAATAATTAATGGCCTATCTACCCGTGATTCCGGACCTGTGGCTGAAGAATAAGAAATCAACAACAATAGAATTCTCAGAATCCTCAGAGAGGACACATGTCTCATGAAAATATCCCAAAAGGCAATGCAACAAGAAGAAAATATAATCATTAACACAAACATAACAACATTTACTTTTTAATAAGCCGTGTGTTTATTGAGGTAGGATCACAGACATAAATTGAATCCCATACAATACTTTCTCTAATACGTATCAACGAAAAATACAAATTAGCATTTAGGCATATGAAAGCACATTAATTTAATGAAATTAGAGTGCCAGATTCTTACTTGGTGGTTTTTCCAACGAAGAAACTGGCAAAGCACATGGGTTTTCTGCAAAATTCGTATGTAAGCTCAAATTAGTCCCAGATTAACACCAGAATAAGCAATTAACCAGCTTTTGAAATTCATAATTAATGATAATAACTAATAAAAAAGTAAAGTTGAAGTGTGTAAGCGCCCTACCCTTGTGTTTCTTGAAACAGGCTACAGAACAACTGCAAGCAAAATAATTTTATCTTTTTCGTTAACGAATCAGATACCAGCAAGAATCAAAAGGGTTTTCAAAATAGATAAAACTGAGGATATTGGTGAGCTGCGATGAGCTTACTAAGGCGCAAGGCATGAGGGGCACTTGTACTTGGATTGTGCTTCGTTGCAGACTTGGCACAGTCGAGGACCCATTTGGACACTCAGTCCCGCTTCTAAAAGCTTTCGAGGATTGAGACGGAAAGTTTTCGAGAAAAGATTTTCCAGGAAAACAAACAGAAGCTAAGGTGATGAATGAGAGCCCACGCACCGTTTTGTTTGTAAAGGTAATAGGAAAAATTAAATTAAATAGTTTTTTTTGCTACGAAAATTAAATTAAATGGTTTACAAAGGAAAGAACATCAAAGAATGAATTATGACATTTGAGTAAGCCCTAAAAACTTCAACTTTAAATTATTCCCTGAAAAAAGTTCAATTTTCTTTGTAGTTAACTTCTTTCATTAAATTGGAAGGGTTCAAGACTAATCCTCATTTATTTTCCCACTTCAAATTTATAGAGAAAATAAAACATTGGAAGCAAGATAATGCATGAAATTATAAATTCTCTTAGTTATCAGGATTTCCCCTAAATTTCATTAATTTCATTAATTTCATTATAGGGTGTTCTATAAATAAAGGAAAATACTTGTATCCTTCCTTGGAAGTAGGAGCTCCTACTTTCCTGCCAATTACAAATTGACATGCGTATAGAGATTTTTCTCTTGGTGTTTTTGATGAATTATTTTTACATATGTGTCAACCTGTAATTTGTAAGAAGCAGAATGCCTCCTTCCATGGAAGCAGTGTCCATAAATAAAACACAATGTCATCCCTTTTTCTTTTCTTTTTCCCAATTTTCTGAATTGTCGTCCCTCGTTTGGAGAACTGAGTTGCTTGAATGAATCCAAGAACGTAACATTCACTTAGTAAACATGTTGACAAGCACACGAAGGCTAACGTAATGAGTTAACAACCAGAAATGTCGTGTTTCAAATCGCACAACAACCCAAGCTTAAACACATCCCGCATTTTCTTTAAGCAGATTTGATATTTTGTGCAATTTTTCCCAGGCATCATCAAGAGAAACGTCAAGCTTTGAAATGAAGCATATGGATAAACGTAAATAATCGGAGTTGCCTTAGTTGGTTTCCGAAGGGAAGGCACTCATGATTCTATAGTTGAAGTATTACAACCTCCATCTTTCAATTAAGGATGCTAATCATCACTTAATATTGAATCCAACCAAAACACAAGAAACTTGAAATAGAATTTAAGTTGTAATACAGAACACAAACATAACGGCTGTGTCTTCAAAAGTACATGCGGGGTGATTTCATCACATATAGAGCCCTTCTGGAACCCCTTCTTTCTTCTTGAACATCACCTTTTCCTTTGCCTTCTTGAAGTCTATATGTGTCACCTGATGCACACAATTTAAATGTAACACCCACGTTAATTACAATGATTAAGCAACCAGCTGAATCAAACACAGTAAGAAAAGATAAACAAATTTCAGAGATTCAAGATGGGGAAGGGAGGTTGGAAGATCAAAGTGTCTTTCTCACCTTCATACGGCGCTCTCTTAAAGCAAGCAAACCAGCTTCAGTACATATTGCCTTTATATCAGCCCCAGAGAACTCATCCTTAGTCATAACAAATTCTTCTAAGTTGACATCATCAGCCAACGTCATCCTTGATGTGTGAATCTGCAATCAATAGATCCAATCATCATTAGTCACAACCATAAAAACTTAGCACGTTTGACGTTGAAATTGTTTCTTTCTTATAAACAGTCGTGTCAATTTACCTGGAAGATGCGCCTCCTTGTTTTGATATCAGGAAGAGGGAATTCAATCTTCCTATCTATTCGGCCAGGACGAAGCAAGGCTGGGTCAAGACTCTCAATTCTATTTGTTGCCAAGATCACCTTAACATCTCCTCTTGAATCAAAACCATCTAACTGGTTCAGTAACTCCAACATGGTCCTCTGAATTTCACGTTCACCACCTGAATGGGCATCATACCTGCAGACAAAAGATCATCAGGAACATTTGATTAACAGTAATTTACAATATTTTCATCAATGTTCAGGGGCTTGCAGCTCACCTCTTTGTACCAACAGCATCAATTTCGTCGATGAAGACAATGGAGGGTGAGAGGTCATCAGCAACCCTAAAGAGTTCCCTCACTAATTTTGGACCATCTCCCAAGTACTTCTGAATCAACTCACTACCAACAACACGTAAGAAAGTTGCTGATGTTGAGTTTGCCACTGCCTGAAAAAAGTGAAAACATGCTTACAAGCCGAGAAGATAATTTGACAAGAAGAGGGCGAATACAACAAATATTCCATAAGCAAACATCATTGAAAGGAACTCTGTGGAGCACTCAGGTCTTTGCAAACATAACTGTGACAGTAAAACTTTTAAACTAGACAGGTCTTTGCAACAAATTTTGTTGGTGCCTGCTCTGACCCAAACGTCTATATTGTGAGTATGCTATCGGTGGGTGCATGAGAGAGAGGTGCACCCACAAACATACAAACAAACAGGAAAACTAGCAAAAGCAATTGCTACTGGTGTCAGCATTGCAGAATACACAAAAATGGTGAAAGAAATAGAGAGCAAACTATAATATCACAGAATGGGAATGGATGCAGCGACGTGTAGGAAGGAAAATATCAGTTTGATGAATATTTGACACCCAACTAATGACAACTGCATCCCTATGGCATGTTGCATACAGAATATGATACAAATTGGAAAACAACATGGGAAACATCAGAAATCTTGCAACTTAATTGAAACAGTGAAGCAGGTGACTGCACCCTGATTTTTTTGTAACATGTCCAAGTAGGGAGGATATTCTAATGAACAAGACAGAACAAGGATACAAAAAGAACAAATAAATACAAGCAAATGGCGAATTGGCATGCTGTGGCTAGGTGGAAAAATAAAAAATTGGATCCAGACCTTTGCAAGCAAGGTCTTGCCCGTTCCAGGCTCTCCATACAATATGACTCCCTTAGGAGGCCTGATACCAATGTCTTCATATAGTTCAGGATGCGTCAGTGGGAGCTCAACTGCTTCTTTAATCTCCTGTATTTGGGCATCTAATCCACCGATGTCAGCATAAGACTCCAGTGGAGCTTTCTCAACTTTCATGACAGACACCATTGGATCAACTTCATCTTGAAGAAGCCCGACAACAGAAAGCACCTGACAAGGAACAACATTTAACACACTACCAATCAAAACCCACACAGATAGATGAATCAAAAAACAACAACTGAAGTTATACCAACAGCAAACATACATAGTTTGGTTCATAAACTCGGGTAGAACCATAAATGTAGCTATTTCATATACACCAGATGACCGCTTAACAGTAAATGTCTAAGTATCATCTTTAGCAGCAGAACGGAGACTGTCTATGCAACTAAGTATCACAGTCTGATTAGGTTTCGAGTACAACAAAATCACAAACTAAATTGCCCACATTTCCCTAACCATTTATCAGAAACCCAAACAAGCTAAATTCCAATATCCAATCAACAAAAGCTAAAATTAACAAAACCAGCATCAACAACGAAATAACGATAGCCCAATCAAAAACCCTAAAAACCCAATACCCCAATTACCTTGTTATGCATCAAAATGGCACAACCAGGCTCGAGCTGGTCCTTATCTACAAAGGACAAAATCCCAACATAGTACTCAGGCCCAACCGAAGACGAAACAATCGCATGGTTCTCGTCAATTAGCTCCTCCAGATTCCCAACGCTCATCGGCGAGCCTCGGAGATCGTCGACCTTAGATCTATCCTCCTCGGCTTTCTCTTCCTGCGGCTTGAGCCGCTCCTGGTTCGTCACGAACTCTTCCTCCATAAGCAGATAGTCCTTGATTCTCTCCAGCTTCAGCAGCCGAAGCTTGCACTTGGTCAGCGGCGTCACGGTCGGGAGCCGAGCCGCAGCCTCGGGACCTTTCTGCTTGCGCTGCTTTCGACCAACTCGGGCCGGCGGAGCCGCCGGCTCGAACTTCTTCTCCTTCTTATCGTTCCCGTCGGGCTTTCGGTCGCCCGGTAGGCCTTGCCGGTTCAACCCGCCCGGAGTTCCCTGACCCATTTCTTGGTTGAGAGAGAGAGAGAGTGTGAAAGTTTTGAAGGGTGCGAAGTTGTCTTTAGAAACAAGTCATTGAATCTGTGTATGCGGTGCGGCTATATACCATAGGGAATAGGCTGTGTTTCCATTCGGGATTTTAATTGGGCCTTCACTATTAAAATAAGATTATTGAGGCCCAATATTGGCCTCTTAATTTGGCATCCATTCAAATTCAATTTGAGTTTTAAGTGAGCCCAAGGTGTGTCGCCTAGTTCTTTTGGGTCTACATTAACCACGTGTCCAATAATAGCTTCTGCAATTGATTGGGTGACTATTAACAACCCCTTAATATAATGACCGGTGATTTCCCCATTCCAATTTTATCCACTTACACTCTTTTTTTATAGTTTGTCATCTTTTGCTTGCTGCTTGGTCTTGAAGTTGGCTTTGAAGCCAACGAGGTCTAGTAAAGTGGGAAAAAAAAATAGTTTTGATTTGCAAATTAATGGTTTCAGATTCGAACTCTCATTGCACATGTGTGTGAGAAACTTCAATTTCCTTATAATTTAGACTATCCCTTATACTAAATAAAAACAGTTGACTTTGGAAAAATAAAAAATAAAAAATCTTTTGTTTTTTGTCACATTGAAGAAAGATCCACAATTTATAAGCATTTAAATTTATTGAATGAGATTCTCTGAAAAAAAAAAAAAACAATTATTGAACGAGATAATAAGAAGGGAGTTATATAATATTTAGGATCCAACTCTTCTCTCAACTTTCTCATACTGGTGATATAGGGGTGAAGCACATAATATTGTGAGCCCTGCGTTTCATATTCATCGATCACATGAGACCGTACATGGTCTAATTTTAAATTAATTAGTGGAGAAACCAAATTTAAGATAAATACATATATAGCTAGAAATTAAACATGATCAAGTAATGAGAACATGTTTTTTATTATCTTCTCTTTGGATTGAACAAGCAGCTTTTGAGCACCCCCGGCTATCTATATCATCACCACCTATACAAGCAAGATGATCACTTTATACATGAACTTTGAAGTTAGGATGATTCCCATCTATGCATGAGATGATATTGTTGGTGGTGATAATCAAGCAAGGACATCCCATCTTCATTTCCTCTCCACATGCAATCTCTATCACCACAAAACTT